CATAATAATTGTCTAAAATTTGGATTGTATGTGGGTTATCATAGCATCGACTCTTAACAATAATAGTATTTTTTGCTTTCCCAAAAAAATGATAAAATGTTTAGCATACTCATTTGATTCATTTTTTTTTTTCTTAATATGTAAACTTTCATTTCCCCATTAACTAAAATCACTACAAAACGAAAAAAACTGTATTTTTTTTTCTGTCTCACCCTCTCTTGCCTGATACTCCATATAGAATAACTTTTGTTATGGTTAACATTAATCAAAAAAAGGAAAAAGAAAAACCTTGAGATTTGATAAAATCAAGAGAGTATCCACTAATCCACAAGAAATAGCGCATAATTATTTTAAGTACTTTATAAATGGATTCGATTCTTCATCACGAAAGCAAGTTAATATATTTATGCAAGTTCTATACATATATATATATATATAACTGAAAATCTTTTATATATATATATATATATAACTGAAAATCTTTTCATGACGTTTTAACTATTAGAACGCTTGATCAGTCGTTCATTATGTGGATCTGGATAAGGCCTCACGTGGTGGACTACTAATTAAGGTGTCGTGACAATCAGGACATCTTGATTTTTTATGCTCTTATGTATGTATATAAGTTCTTTATTTAATTATATGGATGGGATATATTTGGATCAAAAGGAGAGGAGGCGAAGAAAGAGATGAGAAAAGTGAAGTAGTACCTTCAGATGTGTCAGTGGTTGCGTTTTGTGCTCTAGATTCTCCAACTGACGATAAGAAGAAGATGAAGATAAAGGTGAAGCAGAAATGAGCAACAGGCAGCACAGAAGCAGAAGAAAGTAGCTTCATTCTCCAATTCCCACCCCAGCACGGCAGCTTTGAAAACAAGATGGAAACACTGTTCCGAAATTTTCAACATATATAACTTAACAATCGCTAAAACAATATTATTATATTTGGGAGGTGGTTGCGGAAAGAGGAGGGAAAAATGAAAAGCAGAGTGCAGATGTCACGTCAATCAATAAAACTATAGTTATAGTCATTACTGAATTTGTTAAAAATATAAAAATTATTAAAAATTTATATTAATTTAATTAAAAAAATTAATATTTATTATTTAATAAATTAAAATAAATTTATAAATAAATATTTTTAAATATTATAATTAATTATATAAAAAATTATAAATTAATAAAATTACAATTAAAATTAATAATTTTAATAAAATATTAAGTAAGAATAACCTCAACCACAAAAAAATTGACAGGGTGGAGTTTTCTCGCCACAAACATCATCCTCTATTTCTATTAGTCAGTGGTATAAAGTAGACGCATTAATGGACTTTTTCGCCCGTGAGGATTGGTCACAGACTCTCACTGTCCTGATTAGCCAATGTTGGAAGAAAGATTCGTTCCAACTCAATTGACATGACCGTGCTTGATACGCCTATTATTGCATTCAAATTGAGGATATTCTGTGCCTCTTTTTTTGAATTTTTGTTTTCTCTATTTCGTATTTTGAATTTTTGAGTGTGCATTAACGTTAACGGCCACTAGAAACTTGAGAATGGTTCTTGGAGTACGACCCATTGGCCCCTACAAGGTATCAAAGAAGCCGACTAAATTAAATTGACGAAAATTTCACAGGAGAAAAAGTATTTTCTAGAAAATTGATTAAATTTAATAGTTTT